AATATGCTGCTGAGAATATAGCCCAGAAGAAGCGGATAGTATAGCTTTTATTTTGGAAAGAGCCATTTCTCTGTAATAAACTCTCTTTTCCAAAAGGTTGGGGACCGCTGCTGTAGAGCCATGTAAATAAACACTGTACAATGCGGCTCTCTCTGTTAGTTATGAAGCAGCATCATACGTTTTTCCATACAAGATGATAAGAGGGGAAAAAATCAAGAGGTTTCAACATGATTGTAAAAGCAAGTATATAAACAATGTCACCTTAATAAAGAGAAGACAGAAATGTGTTTTGTACAGTGATCTGATGGTTAGTGAAAGAGATTTGTTCTGTGCTGTTTGTGTTAGCTGTTCGTTTTTTTTAAGCCATGAGGCTTTTTGTGGACCCTTTAGACTACTTCAGACCCACAGTACAAAGCAGCAAGACCAGCAAAATGTAATTGACAGTGCTTAACTCACGTGGTACGTGTGAAGGATCTCATCCTTTGGACTTAATCAGAAATCCTCACCTAATCCCGCAGCCAGGTGGTTCAGCAGGGCTCTTCAGTTTGACCTGTCACCATGAGGTATTCACAGCAGCCAGGACTGATGGCTGTGGGTTAGGGGACAGCAGGGAGACAGTGCCTCACCCTTTGTTTTTGCTTTTGGGAGGTTTATACCAAGAGCCTACCCTGATGAAGGCCAGTTGGCTCCAGAAGACAGTTAGATGGATAGTGCGGTTGATGTATTTTCGGCGAAAGTGTCAAAGTTAAGTATGCAGCTAGGAAATGAAGAACAGGTCCTGTGTAAGTCTACAATTGAGCTTTATTATCATGTCAGCTTGCTCCGTTTCAGTGTGTGTTTCCTCAGTTTAATATTTTGGCCTGTTTCTTCTCACTTATTTATTTATTTATGCTGGGAGCTTTGATGTAAGCCTCAAGATTTGGGTTATGATTACAGCACAAGCGTCCAGTGTAAGTGAAGTGCCGCGTCTCTCATTGTTTTCCTTCCTTCAGTTGAAGCTAAGTGTCGTCACAGTGTGATTATGACCCTTTTTAAGCAAGTGTAGCTAATTTTGGTGCAAATCTTGCATTGCTTTCAGAAAAGTTTTTTTATGCTTGCATATGAAAATTTTCCACCAAGACTGTCAGAGCTCCAGATTAGCCTCCCAGCTGGCCACCCAGGTGTGCGCACAGCTGCACAGATGACTGATTGTGCATCTGTTTCTTTGTTTGCCAGTGTTCATTTAAGGCATGTTTTTTAAATATTCACAATGGCCACTGCTGCTGACTGCAGCTCTCTAATGGAAATAAAAAGAGGATTAAAAAAACAAGACTGTGATCATTTTATTCTGCTGTTAATTTGAAGTATGCAAATTTACAAGTTCTACAGTCGACCAGGTGTTAATAAAACAATTACAGGTATTAATTGGAGTCAATCCGCAGCAATGTTGTCATGCGTTATTTGTGTCAGTTCACAATGTGACTGTTGTTGACTCACTGTCTGATTGCGTTCAGATTATAAAGTGGCTTATCTGTGGCCCCAATTGAGTCATGAGAGCTAATGCCATGCAGCCTCTTTTGCTCACAGACTCCATCCAGGCTCTGTGCAATGTGGTAGACCCGTTTGTGTGCACCTATATTTATGTTTTCCTGTTTCCTATCTTATAGGAAGGTGACTCTGGTGATGGTGGGATTGGATAATGCAGGGAAGACTGCCACGGTGCGGGGAATTCAGGGAGGTGAGAATCCAGTTTGCAGAATCATGTTTTATTGACCTCGTTGCAGATGCGTGACCTCTGTCTGCTCGTGTTTTCAGATAATCCGCGGGACGTCGCTCCCACAGTGGGCTTTTCCAAAGTCGACCTGAAGCAGGGCAAGTTCGAAGTGACCATCTTTGACCTGGGGGGCGGGAAAAGAATCCGGGGAATCTGGAAAAATTACTACTCGGAATCGCACGGTGTGGTGTTTGTGGTTGATTCCAGCGATGTCCAGCGGATCCAGGAGACGCGAGAGACCATGGCTGAGGTCCTTCAGCACCCACGCATCGCTGGCAAGCCTGTGCTAGTGTGAGTTCTCTGCATAAATAACATTATTAGCTTTTGAGTAGAATTTACTTTGAGATTGCCTATGCACATGAGGGAAAACAGAACGACCAGCAAAGTGCAGAGGGTAAGCTGAAATAGATGGAGATAATAGAGAAATTGCCCAGATTTGAAGCCTCAGCCCTCGCTTCAATTTTGTTGAATGCGGGGTGCACTGCAGGTTGATTCCTGCAGGCATCTGTTTAATCAGTAATCAGGACACAACATGCTGGCTGCAGAGATGAGAGTTAAGTGTGTTTCCAGGTATGCAGAGTGCTTTAATGAGCAAGTCACAATCAGAACAGATTTCCATAAGATTTCCAGACATTGTAATTATGCACCTTGCAAAAAATTGAGTCTGATAAGTGTCCTTGGAACTACCTTACCTTTCTCTTTAATGACTGGGTGAGTTGGATTGCTTCAGGAAATGTAGTGAAAATATTAAGCTGTTTATATACCAGCCAATGGCCCATTCAAAGGGAGGTTAACTGAGGTTTGTTCGCAGCCACAATTTATGGGTATTCCTTAAATGCATCACACTGTGTGAATTAGCAAGTTGCTAATTGGCAAGTTACTGAATTACCTGTGTATAAACGAGGATACAGTGTGTGTGTGTGTGTGTCTAGAGTTTTGGAGGCCTGTTCATCCAAACAACATGATTTAGGCCTTTTGCTGGAAATCAAAGACAAAATTATATAATGTGGATTAAAAAAAACACAGACTATAGTGAGTCATCCATCTACCTTTATGAGAGTTTCAGACCATAAGATTTTGAAAAAAATGGGAACTTTTTGCTGAGCTCTCTATTATATATTTTTTTCTCTGTCCTCTTGTTGGTTAAACTTTTCTTGCACACAGAGTGGAGCAGGTAGCACTATGCCTTGGTACTTGCAGGCGAAATATGAGAAGACCTCAAACTTGGCACTGCACTTATTTGGGTCCCCAGCTATACTGATGAACTGTTATGGAGCTAGGTGGAAACAAAACTAATGGACGGTGGAATGAACAGAGATCTGTTGATGACCGTAACCAACACGTCTTGTTTTTTCCTTTCTGTTTTCAGACTTGCAAACAAACAAGACCAGGAGGGAGCGCTGGCTGAAGCTGACATCATTGAGAACCTGTCCTTAGAGAAGCTTGTTAATGAGAACAAGTGTCTCTGTCAGATTGTAAGTGTTTGTGAACTGAATTTATAGACAGAAAGTATGGCTTTGAGTTTTTTTTTTTAAAACAGTGAAGATGACCTGTTAATCTAGTGGGTGCAAAGCTACATTTGCATCGGTTAAAAGTTTGTGCTGTTTTGGAGGTGATGTTAATGTTTTAACCTCAACTTCTACAGGAACCATGCTCAGCTGTTTTAGGCTACGGGAAAAAAGTTGACAAGTCCATCAAGAAGGGCCTGAACTGGCTGCTCAGCAACATTGCCAAAGACTATGAAGCCATCACCGAGCGAGTGCAGAAGGACACGGCTGAGCAGCGCGCTCTGGAGGAGCAAGACAAGAAAGAGAGGGCAGAGAGAGTACGGCGGATACGAGAGGAGAGGTGAGGATGCAGCAGAAGTCAGTGTGGCAAACAAAATGTGGAAGAGGTTAAACTATAAAGTGGAAAAGTCTAAGACAGAAATTTTTTGAAGCATAACAGGAGGGAGGAGATGGTCAGAAATGTTGAGTAAAGCTCTGGGAGCAGTAGAAATGTTAAAAGGCCAAAGGTTACAAAAGTGTCTGCAAAGAGATATTTATCCCTAAATAAATTATTGCCTCTATTAGAAAAGGGCAACCTTGCTGCCAGTGACTGAACTACGAGCTAGAACAAATGCACATTTTAATCAAATGTGATCTTAGATCAATTTTTTATAAATGTGACACTGCTACCAAGGAGGAGCGTATCATTAAGCAGAAAGGTTAACATCTTATCTGTCCGCAGAGAGCGACAGGAGCGGGAGGAGGCAGAGCGAGAGGGAAGGCCCATCCAAGAAGATGAGCCCGATGATGAGTACATTCAGAGCCCCTTTCAGCCAATAGAGAGCATGATTTCTGAAGTGAGTCGTGTGTACACTCTGGGGCTGATAGTTTATTACTCTGGTTTATGTTGTTGAGACTCTAAAGTTAGAGTGCTTCAGAGAGCCCTTTACTTTCATGTTTTCTTCAGAATGAGGATAAAGAAAAGGAAAGGAAGAGGCAAAAAGAGCTGCAGGAGGGAAGGGGTAACAGCCCCAGGGCAGCCACTGATCAAGAGGAAGAGGAGGAGGAGAAGGAGCAGGGCGACATGAGACAAACACCAGAGAACAACACTCCAGGTGAGTTTCAGGACGCCCGGATCTCCCAAGCTCGGAAATTGACTTGTTAGAACAAATTCAGTCGAAAGTTTCAGTTGAGGAAAAGTTGATTGGATGAAATGCCTTTAGTTAAGTCTTCTGGCAAAGCATTCGAAAGTCTTCTAAAAGTAAGCAGAGTGCGAAACAGTTTTTATGAATACAAAAATGATCTGCCTTGATGTGCAGGGCAGAGGGGGTGTTTGAAGAGCTTTCGCTGGCAGCGTTGTTGTTCAGCTTTGCAACGAGTGAGCTTCTTTTCACTTTGAAAGTGAACTATTGAACAAGATGTTTTAAAATTTAAGAGAGAGATGCAGTCAAATTAAGCCATCTTTTTGATAATCATCTTCTTATTATGATCTAAGCTCAGAGTGCTCATAGATAAAAGGCAATTTAACTTTAAGTAGATGCATTAGAGGATGAAATGATGGCTTTGGGTATTAATTTAAACTTGCTTAGGCCCACTGTTGAAAGCTGAAAGCTGTTATAGTTAAGCTCGTGTTGAACATCTGGATTCTCCACTTGCAACACATCTCTGTTCATTCAGCCACGACAGGTGAGCAGAGCAAGAAGAAGACGAGCAAGCTGCACCTGAAGAGGAAGCACAGGGTGGACCCGCTGAGGATAGAGGACGGACCAACGGAGAGCCTCACCCCTCCTCCGCCTCCAGGTCAGTCTGTACTTCATCACATTGAGCTGCTGTTACATGCAGCTTCTCCACTGCTACCCCTCACCCTGTTGTGCAGAACTGGCTGATTGTACTAATTGGCTCAGTGAGGAAAAACGTCTGTTATGTTTCACTTCCTATTCAAGACTTTTATTGCGAAGGAACTACAGGAAATACGATATGTTTGATGGATTTGGCAGAACTTATTTTACCCATTAGCCGTACAAGGCTGGTGGGGTATTGTATTCACACTGCCATGTGGGCAGGCAGTGTGGACACCCAGTTTAACTCGAGAACAATCTGACATAGGATTTTCAAATTTATACCATAAATTTGTCCACAGTCAATAAAAATTATTTTGCACAGTAAAATATGGACACTGTCACACCGACACTAACCCAAAAACAAACAAACAAAATGTCCAACAACATAATTTATTTTACTCGACAATATGATGGAAAAAGACTTCCAACGCACAATTACAGGCACGTAATAGATGTGAACTGAGCTCAGCATGAGTCCTGGACAAACCCCCAAATATGTTCCTATATATATGAGATGTCAGAATTTTACTGCAATTCAAGAAATGGTTAATAATACAAAAATAATTACAGACAAAGACATAGGACAAGACCTAAACAAGGGCAATGGGTGCCCCGTCAATAACAAACAAAAGCGGAAGAAGGCCTTGAATGACCAAGACTGACAACAGGACCTGCTGGTTACTCTCAAATGAAATCATTATTAATAAACAAAACTGCAGAAATCAGCAGCATGCATATAAAGCCTGTTGCTTTATATTTAAGAGGTATTATAGGAAGATATTTAATACATTTTGATAGGCTGCTTTATAGCTCTAGATCACACAAATACATTGTGGTCCTGTGAGTTTTTGTTGTTTGTGTGCAACATTCGATCTTAAGGAGTGAGATAATCCGCTAGTTATGGCTTTCTTTTTCAGGATCCTTCACTGTTCTCCTCATCCCTCTCTTCTTTATTTTGTTTCTTTAGTGGGATGGGCCACGCCCAAAGTCTCTAGGCTGCCGAAGCTAGAGCCACTCGGGGACACGGGACATTCTGGTAAAGCTGTTTGTGCCGTCAGTGTTAACCGCTGTTTACGTGCATGCATTAACCACCCACCATCTGCAGTTTGTCACTAACTTGGTCTTACTCATTCACTAACTGCAGCACCTGATCAGTGTTTCCTCTACACAGTAGTGATTAAAGCTACATGGAAATAGTAGTTTTGCATGTGTTTTCCTTTTTCTTTTTTTTTCTTTTTAAGGAGGAAGCCTGGTGTTTGTCTCACAGTGTTGGCGGTAGATTTCTAAGTTGCAGTGGAAACCCTGAACTCTGTCTTGAGACGTGCGCTGACTGTTAATTAGCATCTCAACCCCACGTTGTTGTCTTTATTTTTCTCTCCCTCCTGCATCTCTCCAGGCATGTGTTTGCATGTGTTTGTGTGGATCTTTCACGGGTGCAGACATCTAAAATCAACTCAAAGACTTGTCTGTGTATTCATCTGTATTCATTTTCCTCCAGTCTGTGCAGCATCTTTCACGGTTGCTTCCATTGAGTGCTTACTTTTTTAAAAAGAAATTTGTATTTCAGGTCTCCGTGGGCGTTGCGTACTAACACAACCAAACCTTTTCTCCTTCCCTCCACAGAGTTTTACAAGAAACCTCTCCCGCCGGTCGCCAACAGGCCGAGGCCTAACGGCGATGCTCACGACATCATTTCTTAAACCCCCTTTTAGCGATTGAGGTTGACCAATCACGACTGTATTCTCCTTTCCTTTTTGTCTCAAGAGAGCGGCGTGTAGACAACCAAGCAAATAAAAGCTTGACTGCTGTGGATGCCGGAGCCGGGGACCTCTGAAAGGGCGATGGACACTAAACAGATTTGCGACAGGAAGTCCTGCTCAGAAGCTGTAATTTGACCTCACAAATTCATTGTGAAACCCACCTGAACTGTGCATCAGACTCTGTCTTCACAAGCAAAAGCACAACTTGGTGTTGAACTCTCTCCAGCTCGTAGACTTTATATCCTTCTAATAATATCAGTGTTAGTTCGGACTTCTGTGTCAAACTCTGATGCTTTTAATCGACAGCAAATGTAAATATACCCTTTAAATATGTCTGAATAATTTATTTGTATACATGCCGCCATTAAAATAACCACACCATTTATTTTTGCACTTCTGGGTTTTTAGTGTAAAACACCATGTGGCTCAGGCACCTGAGTAATGATTTAAAAAAGAAAAAAAAAAAGAAAAAAGGTATCGGTCTTAAGTGGCTTATTACAGGTGAGTGCTTTAAATTGGACCTTTTGTGAAGTCGGAAACATTTGCAGCTTTTTTTTTTTTTTTTTTTTTACAGCACTGATGTGTAAAGAGGGCGAGTCACAGCTGGCAAGTGGATTTTGTGGAAGTCACTTTTTTTTTTAAGGACTATGTTGACTTTTGATGTAAAACACAAAGAAAAGGAAAACACTAATTTAAAAACTCTTTAACTGGATACATTTATAAAGGAACTTTTTATCTACTGTTTTAAAACATGAACATTTACATGTCTACAGAGCTTTTAACACATTCTGCTGTTTACACTGTGTGTCAGTTTTTTTTTTTTTAAAAGTGATATTTCTCTCAAGACAGACTCGCTGCCTTTTCAGGTGGCCCTCGAGGTGTGAGCTGGTGCTGTTGGTGTCCCAGCTGTTGCGGCGCGGCTGTCTGCTGCGCCCATTTTTGCTTTGAAAAAACCCCCGCTAAAATTGCATCTCGACGAGCATAATCACAAATCTGAAGCTTTGAACACTCCACTGCCCCAGTTAAGTTTGTTTTGTGTGCTGGAGGAGTTTGCAGTAGGGATGATAAGGGAAGAAGAACATACTTCTACAGCAGCACCTGGAACAGCCAGTATTGGGTCAGAACACATGAGAATATGTGCACCAGAAGTAACAAAAGAAGTATCACTTTAAAAAAAAAAAAATCCTTGCAATGTTGTATTTCAGATCTGTAGTACCATGCTCACTCTCTTTTAATGTGCTAGATGTTTTAAAAAAATAAAGATATTTTTTCTATCCAGATTGAATTTTATAATGGCAAAATAAAAGATGTTTTAAATATATTACTGAGTGACTGCAGTATTTCTCCATGAGTATTTGCACTTGTAGTCAGGGAAATGAGTTGCCTGTTGCTGTGGAGTGTTTGTTGTTTTATTTTTAGCTTAACATTAAGAGCAGTGCATTTGACATCCAGCTCCTGCTTAGCATAAACTTCTGTCTGTCAGGCAATGCCGATAATGGCTATTATTGCCATTTGCAGTCAGGTTTTCCCTCGTGAGGCTTGTATTTAAAGCTTCACTGTATAATACTCTGGTCTATCTGCTGTGTAGCCCTCAAACTGCCGCAATAAATAAAGAACCACAAATAAGCAAAAGATCTAGTTAGAAATAAAACTTAGATCGTCCTGTCTGATGGTACTTAATGGTACTTGATATTTAATCAAAGTTAATCATCTGATCACACTTTGACACGTCTCTAAGAACACCCTGAGGATATAAATATGGAAACATAATTATAGTATTTATATCTATATATATCTATATCTATATATATATCTATATATATATATAATATATAATACACACACACACACCACATATATATATAAATATACATATACACATATACACATATACACATATATATATATATCTATCTATCTATCATCTATCATATATATATATATATCTATATGTATATATATATATATATATATATATATATATATATATATATATATATATATATATATATATATATATATATATATATTACATGAATAATGAACTCATTGGCCACTTGGGTATTATTAGGCATTAGGCACAGAACAAAGGGATGGACACGGTTAACAACAATACTTCTGTGGGCTGTGGTGTTTAAATGTTACTTGCTTTGTACCAGGGGGCACAGATTGCAAAGAAAATGTTCCTCACATCATTACACCACCAGCATGTTGTTTACGCACACACACCACCCTTTTTTTTTTGTTTTGTTACAATAGTGGCACTAAGTGTGGACTTCTGCAATCAGAGATGCTCTTCTGTATACCGTGGATGAGGTGGATCTTGTTTTTTTTTTTCTTTTTTTTCTTAGTAACTATAGCCTTCCTGTCAGCTTGACCTCTTTCATAGATATTTTCTGTATATTTTCTCTTTTTCGCACCATTCTCTCTCGAGTATGGAAGCTTGTTTCCACCACTGAAAATGATTTTTTGCCATCCATCCAGTCAAAATTTCACCAACTCAAACTTCCCCCCCAAAAAGTGAAATTTCAAGTTAGTGAGCTGAATTTTTTTTCTCTTTATTAGCCAGATAGTGAAGAGCATGCAGGAAAGCAGGGAGAGAGAGTGGGGAAAGGCATGCCTCAAAGGAACCCGGGCTGTTGTATTTAAGCTTGCCGCTTATGATTTCCCTGTGAGCTAGATTGCTGCCAAGTAAGTTGAAATTTTGACTTATGGATGGATAAAAAAGTTTTTTTCTGCAGTAAACCCTACAGATGGTTGTTGTGTAATCACATAATCGATGTCCGCATGCCTAAATGGACTGAGCTGTTGCCATGTGATTGTCTCATTAGATACTGTGATAGTGGGCAGTTAAACAGGTATACTTATAGGAGTTGTTTTTCTACTTGTGGTTTCTACTTTTCTATTAAAGCAACAAGTGAAAAACAGTGTTTTAAAAGAGATATCACAGGAACAACTGGGCGTGACTGATACAATCAGCAGCAAACTGCTGTGGTTTTAGTACACCTACATGGTCTAAAACATGAACAACGTTCGTACTGAAGAGTTGCTGTTCTGTGGCTTTTATACTGATATCTCCATCATGGAGCAGTGACAGATAAACAGAAGTGAAACAATGTTTGAATGAGCAGGTCCATTAAACAGCTCTTCGCAGAGAACAAAAGACAAAAATAATTTGAAGGGTGAGATGAAAACAAGTAAGCACAATGTTGAGACATTTGATAAATTGGCTCCTTTGTTTGACAAAACACTGTAAGATTCATGTGTTTGGGCTTCGAGAGCAAACTGAACTGAATGAACCCACCGCAGCTCTAAAACACACAGAGCCTGGATGCAGCGTCTCTTCTCGTTCCCATCTCGTGGTGCAGTAGTGATCTGTCACTAATACAAATTAAACTCCCCACAGGCGAAATGTATTCCAATGTGGAATTAGCCTGTATAGTAAAAGAGCTAAAATGGAACGTGGGGTGTGGGGGGAGGCCCCTCACACCTGCGATGAAATGATGGATAACACTTAACCTTAAACTACAGCAAATCTTTAAAGCATGGTAGGCAATTTAAGCCCCTTGCTGACAAAGTAATTACACATTTGCTAAAGTACTGATGAGAGTGGGCTGGCCTCATCTTCTGTATTACTTCTTTTTCCAGAAACGGGAGGTAGAGACGTATTTGCCAGGATTTTTAAAGACTAAAACGGGAGAATGAAAACTTTAGAGAGACTCGATAATGTTTCTTGAACACATCCAGCATGTGACAATTCAGAAATGAGCTTCAGTCTCTCTAAAAATAGTTGTTTTTCGGCTGCTCTGTATCCTCATTCAGGTCTTGTCAAACATCTGCTCACAGCATCTACAGCCTGTGTCTCCTGCAAGCTGAACATTGAAATGATGTGCTGTCTCATTACTGCTCTGCCTGTTGTCGATGTGCAGGCAGGCTTCATTTAAGTGAAGGATTTCGCAGTGCCGGAGCTGAAATCGGTGTGATGATGCTGTGTCCTGCAGAAGGAGGACAGCAGATGCACTGGTGCCCTTAAGCAGGCGCTTTTAACCATCAATCCCCTCCCTCATTATGCTCGCATCCTTTGATATCATCAATCTTTGACGTCCATCTCATTCCAGGAGCGGTTTTCTGATGAAGTGTTGTAATTTACTTCCCTTACCCTACTCAAAAATCTGCTTCTGTGCATCTGTTTTAGTTAGTGATTTTCTGATGACCGCAAATGCCTTTAAGCACATCCCAGACAGTGAGGAGAGGGTTAGCACTCCCTTTATTTAGCCTTTACAATGGTTCAGATCACAAAAAAGAGGGTTCCTTGTTTTGAATTATGATATGAGGTTGTGTTGCATTTTGGTCTATTTTGTCAGTGAAGAAACTGGTCTCTGTTCCTCTTCAACAATAGATGTCTCTGTGTATTGTTGTGCAAATGCAGTTTGGTATCACAAAACACTCAGCTATCAAGCTCTGTTGTGTCTGTTCTGGAAATGCTTCAGTGTGATATCAAGTTAAGGTAAGTAATCAGAAAACGCTGCAGTGCTGTGGCTCTCTCTTTTGAAGCAGCGTGCTCATCACTGCCATCATTACACATATGGGGAACAAATTAAGGTTTAAATTGGGATAAATGGGTTTTAACCCAGAAAAATCAAAATGGATTCACAATCTTCACAATAACAACTGAAGAATTTTCAGACAACTTGCAGAAATGGTAAGTAAAAGACTTTGGAAGCACAAGCAGGAGGTGGTTAGTGGATAATTTTATATATTTTATATATTATTTTATATATTATTTTTATATATATTATTATTCACTTTGGAACTCAACCTGATGTTAATTTGCTTCAGTAAAACTCTTTAAAGAGTGTGTTACATAATCTCTAAAGCTAAGGGATCATCTGTGAAATAGAGTTTAGCTGAACGTCAGATTTGGTGTCATGTTGCTGACATTGTTAAATGAGCTTTTTCTCTGCTTGTGGTAATCTATGGTAGTCTAAGTGTATCACAGACTAAAGATCAGATGTATCCTGTCATAAATACGCAGCCTTCTTTAGAAAACACAGTT